GGTTTGAAAAAAAATATAAAATTGTTAATATGTGAAATTTTGCACTTGCGCGCGTAGTAGGAAGGGTGTAAAGAGGCCCATATTTACCCTTTCCCCGAAGAGAAAGTGAAAAAAGCAGGGTAGGGGTTATTTGCGATGCCTTAGCAGGAACTGCATGCGATGAATTTTCCTGAGAGTCTGAAAAATTTTTGGACTTGAATTCTTCTTACTCTGTGCCAAGTTTCAGGTAAGTTGAGCTGGTGTAATTTTTTTAATCATTTTTTATAGTATAAAGGAATGTATAGCAAAATAATTGGTAGTCTGTGTCCAAAGAGGGAAAATCACTGAGTCGACCTCCAATATGGCGGCCAACGGGAGGTAACTTTCGCTAAATTCAGGCCTATCGAAAACTATCTATTGGTATATTTATGATACTTTTTTCACTTACAATCATTGAAGATCGTCAATGTCACACAGCAATCTTTATTTATTTCATTAGATTCTCTTCAAGCAGAATACGAATAGACCCTATCAAGGTTATTGGCCGCCATCTTGGACTGGGGGCAAACATTGGGGGCTGACGTCACAAAAACAATGGCCGACGCGAGGCGAAGCGAGAACGGATCAGCAAAATAAACCGCCGCGTGTTGTTTATCTTCGATGTAACAACTGTAAATAACTATGCACAAAAGACTCTCAGGTAATGAAATTTATATATTTCAGCTTGAATAGTACTTAAATGGATTATTTTTTGCAATTTTTGTCTTTTTATTCGAGGACGCCAAAAGCACGTGGTCGGTAAATGCTCATTGTGAACCATGGGTATGGTTCATGTTTTGGGCTGTATTTAATAAATACGGCACCTCAGAACATTGAGCTTTTTCTGAGCTAGAGTTTAGTTGTTTTGAAATCGGAGAAATGTTAAATCTAGGCTCATACCCCCAAAATCGAATATATTGAGCACTTCGAAAATGGTGATATGACCCAGCGAGGTGCACTTTTCCAGCCCTATAGGGAAAGAGCCTCATGTGAGACACATAGTGTACAAAAAATTGATATATTCAATTTTTTGTGATTGATTTTAATAAAAACATATACATAATCTGATTTCTTTGTAAACAAGTACATTTTTACTTGTTTATTTAATGTAAACTATGTTCATATTTCACACTTTCAGCAAGTTAACATTGAGAGCAAGTCATAACAGTATCAGAGAGCCAAGAGCCGTAAATACAAAGGCCTATACATAAAGAAAGAATGCCTAAAAAGGTTATATTTATACTAAAGAAAGCAAAGGATTAGGAAACATTCATGATTATTATTTACATAAATATGAATAATGTTGTAGGCCATTGTATTTAAATAGAAGCTAGCTTATACACAAGAGGTTTGGTTATACACATAATAAACATAGAATCATTCCATACTCATTCAGAAATACTCTCAGTAGTGCATTACGCTGAGAGAAAAAACAAGCCCTGACTACTTGACCAACTTTGTAAGTGTTGCAAAACTTGCAATATTATAAATTTATAGCATATGTACTATTGATTCAAATTATGTAAATATGTGAAGGAATGTCAATCCAAATGGAAGATTCTTAGAAATTATATATTAGCCATGCTACTTTAAGAAATTTCGCACATATAATATCACAAAATAATGTGTAATCATGCAGTTATCCTGTAATTAGTATTTTAAAGTGTCATCACAGATTAGGTCAGGTGCAGACACTGTTGTCTTTAGTTCAGCATTGACCCAAAAAGTTAGTAGTCACAGTTCACTAATATGTACAACAACAATGTGCAATATATCTATTATTGTGTTGTTATTGAAAACTGTCCTTTCAGTTTCAAAACACAAAATAAAGTAGTTTATATTACAAACAGATTCTGAAGCATAAATTCTTCCATGTACATTTCTTGTACATAAAAACAAAGTAAACTTCTTTGAAGGAAATGAAAGGATTAGTATGCTACAAAAACATGCACACATTAGAAAATTCAAAAAAAGTGCACATAAAAACATAAAACATAGTGATATACCCTACTGAGGTCTAATTACTTATCCTTGAGGATTGAATAGTCTCGTCAAAGCATTTATTCATAAGCAAGCAAAAAAAATGTACAGTTTGTTATTGCTTTTATATAAAGCAGCAATGCTAACTGTCAAAGGTGAAAGGTGGCAAATGTTCAAAGTCTTAATCAAATCAATATACTGGAAAGATGCTTGTGTTAGGTCCTCTTAAAAAAAATGTTTGCCCTCCTCAAACTTAGCATTAAGAAAATGGGTAGGTAACTTAAGTTAAGTATATAAATTATTTGGAAAATTTGTTCTAAAAACACTTCCAAATATGAAGTTAAAACATTGGGTTAAAAAAACATAATTAAAAAAAAAATCCTTTAGAACAATCTAATTAAGATTAGATGTTAATTTCTTGTACATAAAAACAAATTAAACTTCTTTGAAGGAAATAAATATCTTAACAACATCACCATTGAAAAAAGGGTCACATAAAAAAGGTCAAATTTGGAAAGATTATTATCAAATAAAATATAAAACATATTTGCCAGCGACGATTGATTGGTTATATAAAGAAATTGTAAATTCAAAAGTCCCTCAATTGTGTTGTTGTTAAATGTTAGTCAAACTTAGCATTAAGAAAATGTGAGTTAAGTAATAAAGCACTTCCAAATATCTAATTTTAATTAGATTGCCTTTAGAAAAGAGGGCAAATATTTTTTTTTTTTAAAAAATGACCTTTCCACCATGCCCAATCACTTAAAATTCATGATGTCAGATGTCATATATGACCTTGACTTCATGACCTTGACAAAAGGATAACTGTACAATTTATTTTTTAAGATGAGCTTACCTTAAACTTTAATATATGACCTTGACTACATGACCTTGACAAAGGGACAACTTTGTTCAGTTTGTTTTAACAGAGACCTTTCATACACTTAAAGTTAATGCTTTAATCAATGTATAACCTTGACTTTATGACCTTGACAAAGGGAGCACTTTGTAAGTCTTAGAGTTCTTTAAAGAAGTCGTTGGTTGCATGTAAACACAAATCAATATTTTATTGTAGTTTTCCACAAGACATCACTGTATTTATTAATGACAGCCAACAAACTGTAACTAGACAGTGGCCTAGGGCAAATGCCCATCTACCATTGCCAATCTGCTACTGGACTGACTTTCTGCCAGTTACAGCTGTTGACCAGGTATGTCCGAAAAACTGATAAATTAAATCAATGTAATTTTTAGAACTTAAAATGGCAAATAATAGCCATCATATAAAGTTTGTCAATTATCTCTTACACATATATTCCCGACCCAATAATTTTATTTTGCTTTTAGATAGCCGACAAACTGTAACTAGACAGTGGCCTAGGGCAAAGCCGGAAATGCCCATCTACCATTGCCAATCTGCTACTGGACTGACTTTCTGCCAGTTACAGCTGTCGACCAGGTATGTCCAAAAAAACTGATAATTTAAATCAATGTAATTTTTAAAACTTAAAATAGCAAATAATAGCCATCATAAAAAGTTTGTTAATTATCTCTTACACAAATATTCCCGACCCAATAATTTTATTTTGCTTTTAGATAGCCGACAAACTGCAACTAGACATTGGCTAGGGCAAAGCTGGAATCGCCCATCTGCCATTGCCAGCCTACTACTGGACTGACATTATGCCAGTTACAGCTGTCGACCAGGTATGTCAAAAAAATTGATAATTTAATCCCAATTTTAAAACAAAATGGTAATTTAAAAATCATGATTCTTTACCAATTTGTAATTTACATGCAACCTTGAAATAATGACCCAACAGATCTGCATTTTTGAAGTGCAAATGATATCTTAGAAAACTGCAAAGTATGGAAAATAGAAAAGCTTTACACATCTGTGCAAGTTTGGTAGAATTTTCTATGCAAATTGTTAAATTGCGTAAATCTTATGCAAAATGGTTGCTTATGGTAAATCCATACAAGCTGGCTAAATGCAAGACAGGGTTGTAAGCTAGTTGTATGTCCATACACCATGCAAGTTAGATATATGTAACAAGTACTGTTATATTGATATGCAAGTGGTTACTGATATGCAAGTGGTTACTGATGTCACTGATGCTTACTAAGGGGAGGGGAGGGGGTGGAGGGTGGGGAGAGTGCAGTACAAGTAGTGAAGATAGAAAGTCTCATATAATGCAAGAAATCAGAAAATATTATAAGGCAAAGATTAATGAAAATCATTGCCAGAAATGAATCAAATGATTCATATTTATTCAATATGAAATTACATTCAGCAGGAGTTGAACTTTAATATGAAATGTAATACATGTGCTAATAAGATAGTATCAATATATTATTGATTTTTTTATTCAACAAGGGGGTCCAGAAGGTTGCAAAGTGCACAGCATGAAATAACAATATCATCAACAATGGGAAGACATGAAATCGGAAATTCATTTTTCAAAAATCTGTATGTTTTAAGTCTGCCAATAGCTTGTTCAACATAAATTCTTACATTTGCAATTTTTGAAGTTTCTGATACATCTGATGCTTGCATCTGCAATTTTCCAGTTGTACTGGGTGGAATAGCAAGTTTAGCCATCAACATCATAAGGTCCTCCTTAATTTTGAAACCCCTGTCAGCCATAACTTGATCATAGGGTTCTATAAGATTGTAAAAATGACTGTCTTTTACAATAAACTGGTCACTTGCTCTTCCTCCATAAACGGAAGAAACATATGAAAACATACCATTTGGTGTAATTGCAACAAGAAATTTTACTGTACAGTGTTGCTTATAATCGGACCAGCATTTAGCTTGAACTTCTAAACTTGATGGTGTTTCTAACAAAACTTCTGTGCAGTCTATTATGCATCGTACATTTGGGTAAAACCTTCTGAAGCATTCAGGTAATGCACTTTTGATTGTGTGTTTTGTAGGCCATATGATGAGTTTTCCCAGTTCTAGACGAAGTAAGCGAGTCCAAGTAAAAAAAATGCTGCTGACAGTTGCATCAGAAATGTTGAATCTAAATGCAAGGTCATGAACTAAAAGACCAAGTCTTAATCTCATCAATACCAGCAACAACTCAAGCTCTAGAGATAGTTTTCTTCTTGGACCAGGGCGTTTGAAGGTAAGACCTTGATCATATCTGGAAGGCATTTCAGAGGTAGTCTGTTTTTCGCCTCTCCAGTACTGCATGCACTTGGCTTTTGAGCTGAGTAAGTTGAATAATGTCTGAAAAACTAGAGTAGTAGACAGACCTGTAAAGAAATTAACATCTGAATCTCTAGTAATTTGAGTAGACTGAAAGCAAAGAATAAATTCTGATTCATTTGAACATTCTGCATGATCTGCTGTGTCATTTTCCGACGTACTTTGCAGAGTGCAATTAGTTTCACAATCTACTATGACCTTTTTATTATTGTGTCTTTTAATTTCTCTTCTCTTTGTAGGAGTTGTCCCACTGATGGCATCAGACAAGGTTAAAAACAAAGTGGGATAGGGATTCTCACTGGTGGGCATACCATCTGAAAAGTGGTTTGAACATACACGTATGCCATTGCCTGGAATATAATCCTGACGACCTTTTAATATTTGAGAATTCCATTTTTTCCTCATAATTTCATCAGATGGAAGTTTATGAAATTTAAGAGTATGAACATGTGATTTGATATCATAATTTTGGGGATATCTCCTGTCATTGTTGCAAGGACCAACTGCACACCTATCACCTCCTCCCATGTTTGTTTAGTTGAATATCAATTATATATAAAAGATGAAATTTGACCCTCTGATACTAGCAGACTTAACTAGGACATGATTTTTTTTTTATTGAGATACATGTATATATAAATAGAAGTTTATAAACTAAATCAAGTTGAAGGAAGGGTACAGTGATCTGCAAGGGAAAAAACATTTTTAATATGATTTAAATACTCAGTATTTAAAGAAGTAAGAAATACCTAGACTAGGCACAGTAAAGCATGTACAATGTACTCTATTTGTATAGATGATATGTAAACAATTCATTTTAATGATGTTTTAACTTCAATTCTGTAAAGCACTCTGTCTTATGAAGCACATGCATTACAAGTCCATATTTCAGCAGTGGGTTCTGTTTTGACCCCTACACATTTCCAATGAAACCAAAGGTCACAGTTATCACAACAAATGCTGTGATCTCCACACTCGATGATTTCATCGCCATCTAAGCAAAGTTTGTTGCATAGTTGACAAAATGTCAAATTTTTTGTGCCCAAAAGATAAGGGACAATGTAAATTTTAAAGAAAAGGGATGCTTTTTGTACTATTTCCATCCAAATCTTTTTGTCTAATTTTACTTTTAGAATTAGTGTGTCTTTAGCTGACCACACCACAAAGAAAGCTTGCTGCAGACCAGTGACACCAAGTTGTGCTTGAATCTGGTAGTAATATTTGTGTGAAGATTTCAAAGCCAGATTTCCTTCTTGTTGTTCAAGGAAATCTGTCAAATGCCAACCTTCTTGCACAGATACATTGTTAGTGTTAAGAACGTAGGGGCATTTGATTTCAAGGACAGACGCTCCACAACAGTTACACTGAATGATGCCGTCGGGACTGGCTGCCAAAAATGGCATGTCAGGTTTTATATATAAACCTGCTTTTCTGATGGAAAAACCGGAGTGCTTTAGGGACTCAAGCTTTAAAAAATCTACTCTAGCTGTATCCTCCTTTTCTATTCCATACTTAACAGCTGGAACAAAAGAGATGTCATCTCCACCATGCAATATATTTTTCACAAGGGGGGTAATTTTGACCTTGGAGCTTCCTTTTTTTGATAGTGTAGAAAATTTTGTACACACTGTTAGGGTACTAGAAGCAGTTATCCTCCCTTTTCTTTGGGTATGCCATAGTGGACATTTGGCCTGATCTCTAGTGGCCTGCTCAACAAGGACAACCTGTTCATTTGAAAGGGGCAAGCCTTCAATGAACTTTTCTGCGGAATCTGTATAATTGGTTCCAATATCAATTAATGATTGGGGCATTACAGGCTTCTGACTGTTTGATGTAATAGCCTTAAATACAACTGACCTTGGAGTAACACTATACAGCTTACTAAACATATTGTTTACTTCTTCTTCTGTGACCTTCCTGTGATCCATCCGTCTTGGATCAAATGAGGTTTTCATCTCGGAAATAATAGATTTCTGACCTTGATCTTCTGTAGATTTGACCCTGTTGTCTTTCCTGACATTCATATCAGTGACCTTGGATGGTTGGACATTACGTTTAGTAGATGCATTCCAGTTGCATGGTAGAGATGTGCATGATGGATTTGTAAACCCCATGGTATTGGCATATTCTACCTTATAAAGTGTAGCTATTACATGGTTACACGTTTCTGCCATACCTGCTATACAGCTACACCAACTTGTCAAAATTTGTTCCTCTTGAATATCAAATGCTATCCAAACTTCTCTTGGATCATTATTTATATTTTGTGATGGAGTAACCATTGATCGAAGAATTTTGATGTTTTGAAAGTTGTATGTTAATATTTCATCAACAAACCCAGACTTCCAGTAGGAGAATGCTTTATGGGTTTTGTATTTACCCACAAAGTCAATGTCAAATTCTTTTTTCTCTAAAATAAAAGAAAAAATGTTGCCTAGATCTAGTTTTGGCAAAGATTTGACATCTGATTGCCACTTTGACAGTGGAATTGACCTTGGGTCTTCAGGTATTTTGTATTTTTGAAGTTTTTCAATATAGTGGCTCTGAAGATTTTTTTGAAGCTCTTTTTCAGAAACTTTAGGGGACACCTTCTGCTCCCATGCAACAAATGCCCTTGAGACGAGTTCATTTTTAACTCCTGACACCTTTAAACCTCTAATATTGAGGTAGTCTTTTAACTGACCAATAGTCATGGAGGAAAATTCCTCAAACATGCTATCCATTGACATATTGATTTTTATAAGATTTTCAAAACATTTTTGGTTATGAAAATAGTATGTGCTTTTGAATAACAAAATATTAAAAATTCCCTTGCTCACTGATACTGGTTGTAATTTTAATATTACATTAAAACAATGAAATATAACAAGTTACATTGTACATGTGATCATATTTTTTGGGCTTATGTCCATATTTATTTCAGTCTGGAAAGAAATGAAGTTGATACATTATTTAAAAAAAATTGTTTACATTTTTAGAAGGATGAACTTGTTTAATTTATATCGTAAGTTAGTTATTTTCTCATTGTACATGTTTGTGATAATACTTTTAAAAAATTGGTCATTAAAATATAAAACTTGAATATTTCTGCATTTTTTTTATTTTCAATTTTAATTACATGTATTTTGAGTTCTCTTACATTAAGAGTAGTACATGTAACACTGTCCACTGCATTGTGGCATCATGCAGGCAGGGCTTCTTCGGAAAGCTGTATAATTTATTTCATATAAATTTAGTTATTTTCTCAATGTACATTTTTGTATTTATACTTTTAAAAAATCTGTCATTAAAATTAAAAAAAATTGAATATTTCTGAATTTTTAAAAATTTTCAATCTTCATATTACAGGCATGTTGAGTACTCTTACATAAAGTATAGTAACACTTCCACTGCAAAGTACCATCAGCAGGACTTCTTTAGAAAACTGTAGAAAAACATCATGCATTACAGTAGTTGCACAGACCTGTGTCAGTACAGATGTACTGTTAATAGGAATTTCTATTCAAATAATAAATTACTGATTAAATATTCTGTGGAATTTCTGTGCCAGTATTTATAATTACAAGGAGAGAATACATTCAAATAATATAAGCATGGTTATTATTCTTTACAGAGTGTATATTTCACTATCGCTAAAAAGGCCCCGCCCCCTTTGCATTTGCTGCTACAACATACGCGGAACTTGTACTTCATAAAGAAGGAAAATGTATATATTGATATTATTCTCGTGAGAAATCACTTCACACACATTTCTTAATATTTTTTTCATTGAACAAAAGTTATAATTACCCAACGCAAGACACTCTACTCAATAAACATCGATGACATCTAGATGCCAGCCAAATATTCCCGCCTTGCGCAACGCGTCACTTGTGTACACTAACAACATGCTACTTCATTAATATTCTATGACATTTTTAAAAATATTGTTATTTCCTGTAATATTTTTATCCAAGCAACACTTTTTAAGTATAATTTTATTTTTTAAAAATAAAATACTTCTTGAAACACCTTCGCATTTATTGATGACGTTACAACATTATGACAAGCTTGAACCGCTTAAGTACACTGGCACTCCTGCCTGCGGATTAGTGTTGGAGAAACTTCAAGAAATTTCTACAAGTAAGGATGTTTAGTATATTGAAATGTACTTTTTCATCGCACTTTTATAATAACAGAAATCATAGGCACTTGGGGTATGGACCCCCCCCCCCCCTTTTTCATTTTTTTTTCTTTTTAAATCAGGATTCAAGTAATCTTTTTCCTCTTTTTCTATTCTAATATGCACTATATGTTTTCAAAAATGCGACTCTTTTGTCTCTACAAGCTGTTTTTAAAAATGCCGTTTTCCACTGATACATATAAAGAGAGAAGGCTTGCAACTCTTTCTAGTCATCCGCCTCACCACGCTCAAACTTCGCTCGATTATCTATCTAAATCAGTATAAAACATGGGATATGCATACATCAATAAATTTGTTATACATTCCTCTTCCTTTTCACATTTCCATTTAATTTTTATATGCCCCCGATTTGTAAATATTTCGATGAAATCGGGTAAATTTTGTTCATGTGCATCAACCGGGACGGAAGTACTCGGTATTTTCGGGCGTCATCATAATGTGTAAATGTTATTCGGAACATTAAATTCGAGAGGGATTCAATCCCGAATTTTCTCTTCATGTTACATGAAACGGTAACTTCGATATATCTCAAGAAAGCTGTAACTAGTAGATTCTGATGGATACAGATTCACTTTTAACACACGATATAATCAACCAAATATCACAATATTGTTTTTACAAATCCTGGATTTTTTGTAATGCAGAACATTTGTAAAATAGAGTTATCCTTCTTTGGTACTTCCGTCCCGGTTGATGCACATGAACAAAATTTACCCGATTTCATCGAAATATTTACAAATCGGGGGCATATAAAAATTAAATGGAAATGTGAAAAGGAAGAGGAATGTATAACAAATTTATTGATGTATGCATATCCCATGTTTTATACTGATTTAGATAGATAATCGAGCGAAGTTTGAGCGTGGTGAGGCGGATGACTAGAAAGAGTTGCAAGCCTTCTCTCTTTATATGTATCAGTGGAAAACGGCATTTTTAAAAACAGCTTGTAGAGACGAAAGTGTTGCATTTTTGATAACATATAGTGCATATTAGAATAGAAAAAGAGGAAAAAGATGACTTGAATCCTGATTTAAAAAGAAAAAAAATGGAAAAGGGGGGGGGGGGGGGGGGTCCATACCCCAAGTGCCTATGACAGAAATGAAAATTTTGAGTGCAAAAATCGCGATATAACATGACGTGATGACCGCATACCGCTTATATGGCATATACAGTGTTGTGTAACAAGCATGCTGAAAAACATCATTTTTTAATGTCAGGAAGTTATTTTATTGGTTAAACACATATTATTGTCATTAAAAATAGTTTTTGCACAATTCCCCAATGAGGATTCGTGTGACATTGGCCAGAAAGCCTCCAGTAGACGGAAACATTTCGGCAAGTAATTTCATCAACCGCACATTGTTTACAATGACGACAGCGCGTGATGCCCCCAATCCAAGATGGCGGCCAATAACCTTGAAAGGGTCTATTAAATAAGTAAAAAAAAAATGAAAAAGGACTAACCATCTTAGAAGCTGGGAGCGAGACAGCCGCCGGACTTCCTGGTCCACAGTATTTTTATGTCCAACTAAAACAAGTTTATGTGTTTTATGAATACATGTACATGTATCATAAAGGTTGATTTTTGGCATTTAACAGGTCCAGCACAATACCCCGATAAAGGTATATAGCTTGATAAAGCTATATAGCTTTATTAAGGTATTTAAAATACCTTGATCAAGGTATTTTATAAAATTGAAAATTCAAAAAAATTCTTTCAAAATTAAATTTTAATGGAATTTTAAAAGTCCATGATTTAACAATGAGCTTATTTTTTATCAGTGTGTCCATTCAAAAAGTTTAAATGCATGAAAAACACTCTGGTATCAAAAAGAAAGCATAAAATAACGTCTCCTCACATGACATGTTTTTATACTGATTTGTTAATATTTGAAAATTTTAAATGCATGGGTAAATATATACTGACAACAACTCAAACTCGACTTTCAGTAATTAATTTTTAAAGAATTTTTTTGAATTTTCTTTACATAAAATACCTTGAGGAATGAATAAAAAAGATACCTTGATTAAGCTATATAGCTTTATCAAGCTATATACCTTTATCGGGGTATTGTGCTGGACCTGTTTAAAAGGGTATCTATATATCTATTTAAACTGTTATTTCACATGAGGTACTTAGATTTCCCTGTTAAGGTTACTGAAAAGCTGTCATATGTACATGTATAGATTGAGTCGATAAAATTTTACAGATAAAAGATAAATTATGTTGTCAGAAATTCAAAATTTTAATGGAATTTTAAAACATTCATGATTTAACAATTAAGCTTATTATTTCCCTAACCAGAAGCATTCCTTTATTCAAAAAGTTGAAATGCCCCTTAAGAATATGCCTGGAGTTTTGTTTTCTCGCATAAAGTCAAACTGACGTAACATGCACACACACAAAAAAAAAAGAAAACAAACCGGCAAAATTCATTTATGAAAGTAACATTAAATTAATATAAATTTTTTTATGATAAATACATTAAATTAATGAATAAATAAAAAATAAAAAATACATAAATAAATAATAAATAAATAAATAAATAAATAAATAAATAAATAAATAAATAAATAAATAAATAAATAAATGAATGAATGAATGAATGAATGAATGAATGAATGAATGAATGAATGAATGAATGAATGAATAAAAGAGAGTCATTTGTCAATTTGCTACGAACTAATTTTCTTGAATATACAAAACAATTTGATCGGGATCGGTGACAAAATATTTAAATATGGCGGCCGGTGGCATGGCGGTAAATTCTGGTAAAATTATTTTCTCACTGAACCATTAATCTGTGTATAAATTGCATTTTTATATACTTGATGTGTTTTATAAAAGGTAACTGACAATTAGTATATATCATGTATGGGTGCCAGTTTGTTAAAACAAATTTTACTTCTAGTTAGAATTTCCTCCATTGCAGAGTGAAATTTTGCTTTTCCAGTATCAAAATAGATTTCAAACGGCGGCATAATTTATGTGAATAATGATGTACATTATTAAAAGATGAGACGATAGCTTATGTTGAATTCATTTCTGAAACCATAATACAAGATGCTCTTTTTATTTTCAAGGCTTGCACACATAACTCAAAAACATTTTATTATGTCTGATGAAAAGGAATAATGGGATGTTTCTCTGGAATGGTGTGATAAAAAAACTGAGCTGATAAAAATGCAAAGTGTTTTAAATAATCAATTTGATATTATTCTAAAACCCATAATTCAAAGGAAAAATGTAAAATCAGTTCATTTTCAACCACTTTCACTTTGTAACACATTCACACATGCAAGATGTATTAATATACAACATTAAATGTAAAGTTGCAATATAACCTATGATGTGGTCTGTTCATGTTTTTTTTAATGTTATGAATAATTTACATAAAGTTCATAAGATTTTTAGTCATTTATCACACATTTCATTTGTTTATAGATCGTTTTCAGTAGACCCCAATTAACGTGTTATTTCCCATTATTCGCCATATTATGGGTCAATATTAGTGTTGAATAATCGGGACGTTTTCATAATTGATGATCACTCAAAATCAGAAAAGCTTAATCGATAAATCATCGACTTAAATTGGTAATGCAAATTTCAAATACAAAATTCCATTTCTTTATGAAAAAAACTAAAAATAAAATTTTACTTAGTTTATTTTAAAGACAACTTTTTCTTGTATAAGTAACAAAGAAACAAATTTTCTTTATTATTTGATCATGAAACTGAAAATATTTGTCATGACATCCGATGTTGCATTCGTTAGTTAGGTATAAGCCCCCACCACACTTGAAATACATCCAATATACTTGCAGTGAAGCAAATCAGAGCGGATCCGCTCCGACACGATTTTGCAGAATAAAAAAGGATTTGCACTGGAAACAACTTCCAAACAATCCTCTTGGAGATGGCTTATGCATTTTATCCCAAAAAATAATTCATATAAAGACAAAAATCCAATTAATGTTCTAAACGTTTTTCTCTCACTTTACTCCCTGCTATGTTTAGATTCAGATCTCCCTAGTTGTCCTAGTTAATGCACTGAGTATGATTTATTGCCCGTGTTTCTTTTGCTACATTACGAATATGTACACGGAACGAATTCTATTGTGAAACCGGGTACGTAGGAAAATATCATTTAACGTTAGAAAGTTCTGTCTATGCATTCCCTGGATATGGGTAAATTTCTACTTGATTGTTGTTAATTTTGCCTTCGGACGCCATTTTTGTTGACCTCCTTTCGTTTTACATGTATTGTTAATGTGTATGTATAAGTTTCGTTCAAATCATAAAAGTTTATTTGGGCGACAATCTCTTATGAGAAACGTAATCGATAATCGGAATCTAACACCCAAAAACGATCAACAATCGATCGTCGGCGACAATCGTTTCATCACTTGTCAATATGCTCATATTCCTTGTTTATTCAACTAACTTAAACTTTTTATACTTGCAATTGTGCTATAGGAAGTATTGTTTTTCTGACAAAATATAAATTTGTTAGAGCCTCCTTTATTTTATAGTTTTTATTCCATAAAGATTTCTCCCCAAATATTTCTGCTACACCCTCTTATATTTGGTAGGACAAAGAGGGAAAGTTACCAGGTTAACCCTCAAAATGGCGGCCAACAGAAAATAACTCTTGAAAATTTGGGTCTACTAAAAACTATAAATTACCATAATCAAGGATAATGTTATGCTTGTACAGATGTATTTTCAAATTTTGACAACTATTGTAGAGGCCAGGTTATGGGGCCCATTCAAAGAACTGGAGCAGACTGTCCACACAGCCATACACAGAAAAATTCCAGATGCCATTCACGACCTAGAAATAGCTCTCAAGAAACATAAGCCAGATTTCATCGCTTTGTTAAAGAACCCAGTATGTTTTACTTTTTGACTGACTCCATCGTCTGAAAAAATTCTGTGAACAATTTAACTTAGGAATTAAGATTGTTTGTATACACATCCTCATAAAGTTTATATGCAGACTTTTCTGGGTTCTCAAAGTTTGGTTATTATCATGATTATATTTAAACATCTTCAATTTTTTCTGATATTTATGGTTAAATTGGTGAATTTAAGGGGGGGGGGGAATTAAAAAAGTGAATCACTCCCACAATTGCATTATTACAGAAATCCAAAGGCTAATTTGCATCTAATTTGCTCCCATTTTTTCCTGTTTTTCAAAGCTATAATGAATATTTTTTATATATCAATAACTTCGGAGATTTATGGGTAAATTAAAATTAAAAGGTTTTTTGTGTGTACTTTTAGCAATTATAGAGTGAGGGGAGGGAGTTATACTTTACATTGAGATGAAAAATATAGAATAGCTTTACATGATATGGGTCTGGAGAGTAATTGAAAATTGGTGCATTTCAGTAGCTTAATTCACAATGCACTTGACTACAATACAGTGATAATGACATAAAGAATATGTTGATACATTATCTAATATGTACAGTCATGAAATATTTTTACAGCCCAAGAATGCCATGTACAGGACAGCAGTCCGAAACTCCACGAAGGAGGGGCTACCAGTCATGGGGGACCAGACAAAACAGACCTTCTCTCAGCAGTTTATAGAGGAAGCCCTGATACTCAGTGACCTGTTTGATATGAGTGAAATCGCAGCCGTAGAACTCCTAATGGCAGGTAAGATCACTAATATGTCATTTAGCTGAAGAAGACCTGGCCTGGGGGCCATAAAACTTAGACGAGCTCATTTTTGATCTCAGTCTCACTTTTCCACCATATATTCCTTATGTAAAAGTGAGACTGAGATCAAAAGTGAGCTCCTCTAAGTTTTATGGCTCTGGAACCAGTTCATGAGGACTGGATTATGGTGGATTTTAAGTTTATACTTAAGAGTATGTGTTTAAAATGTTGGGCTCATCTTTTGCTTTGTTTTAAAAATGAAGTGTAAGTGAAGGCCAGCTATAAAATGATATTTTTTTTAGCAAAATCTCATTTGTGGAATGGAAAAAGAAATAACTCTTTTGTAGAGATTATAAAAAGTTGAGTAGTGCCATATTTTAGCCATTGGTTGGGTGAAGGCAACCAAACAAATAAAGACAAATAAATAAACATTTCTAAACAGTAAATAAAAAGTAAATAGTATGAAGTTTGTATAAATAAGTGACAGTAGATACTGAAAATCTTTGACATAGGTGTAGGTAGTATGTACATGTAGTGTTAGAGATGTGTATGCACATTGCATTATTGTATAAGTAATGAACCCTGGCTTAGAAAACACATGAGATATAGTAAAACACCTGTACAGGTAAAATGGACTGTAATCACAGGTGACTTTTGCCCTTTGTACAGGTGAGAGACAGCAGGCCGAGTTCCCTGGGTTGACCAGAGGCCTGGTGGCGGTACTGCTGTACTATGACGGACAGAAGAGTCTGGTTAACTCCCTTCGTACCCTTCTCCAGTCAAGGGAGGGGAGAATGTGGACCATGGAGTTGACCCCTGACCTCTCCAGCATGGTGAACCAGTACACAGATCAGCTGATTCAGAAAGATCGGCTCATCAACACTATACTAGGTAACAGATGTATTAAAATTTTAACCTGATATTCCAGACGTTAGTGGGTTTGATATTGAATCACAATATTTCAGTATTAATGTATGTAAGTTATTCCAAGTCATCAGTAAGAATGTATTCAAAACAAATTGTTCTTGCAGATCAATTAGACAATATGGACCTAACAAAAGAAATGGACAGACTGCAAAGAGACAGGGCCATTGGTCCACCAAAACACAAGAAACAGGTTTGTGTTTTTCTCTGTATACCTGAAATTGAAATATCTTGATCCATCTTAATTCTGCTTGTAGCATTTGTGATGATCGGAGATTACAGTGTTATCAATCCTTGACAATCATTTCTACTGCCAATGTGCATTTTTCCTTTTCTTGTTTTCCAGATGTCTGACTTGTACAGAGAGATCCAGATCATCTTAGTTGACTGCCTCTTCTGTCTGGCCACACAACAGCCTCTGGAGAAAGATGACACCTTGAGGCTGATCCAGCACCTAAGGGCAGACAACTCTCTGGCTGCTGATGGCACCCTGGACCCTGTGAGTCTGTGTCTGTTAATGGCCCTCCTGTACTGTTTTGATGTCAGTTTACTGGAACATGAAGATGGAAGAGGTTAGTCTTTGATAAGTTTTGTATCACTAAATGAACCAAAGGTATTCATACTTTTAAATGTTCTTTTTAAAAAAGATATGTACCCTATTGATCTGCAAAATTAAAAAAATCAATTTCTCTTTTTCCTACTAGATATGTAAAGCTTTCAGAAACAATATCTATTTTTTGAAAAAAAAGAGATACATGTATCATTTTATGAATGAACAAAAAACCAGAAAATTTATTTACAGAGGTCCTGCAACGTCTTCCAATGATGACCGACTCGACCTACATACCGGACATACACCAGGATCTCACGTCGACGCGAGCCTGGGCTAACCCCGGACTGAAGGGCGTGGTGCTGCTGGCCTGGGGGGTGACCCTCAGACAACTCAATCAGTACCAGACCCCCACAGGTAGGATATCTAATCTTATTAAAGGCCAGACCAAAACCCCACAGGTAAAATAAAAATATCAAAACTAATTAAAGGCCAGACCAAAACCCCACAGGTAAAATCAAAATATCAAAACTAATTATAGGCCAGACCAAAACCCCACAGGTAAAATCAAAATATCAAAACTAATTAAAGGTCAGACCAAAACCCCACAGGTAAAATAAAATAAAAATATCAAAACTAATTATAGGTCACACCAAAACCCCACAGGTAAATCAAAATATCAAATCTGATTAAAGGTCACACCAAATTTTCCACAGGTAAAATATCTAATCTTATTAAAGGCCAGACCAAAACCCCACAGGTAAAATATCTAATCTTATTAAAGGCCAGACCAAAACCCCACAGGTAAAATATCTAATCTTATTAAAGGCCAGACCAAAACCCCACAGGTAAAATAAAAATATCAAAACTAATTTTATACCCTCACTCAAAGTTGAGGCATGCCATTTGGTTGGAACCCTTGTGTGAAACACCAACTTCTTTTTGTCTGTGCATTCCCACAGGTAAAATGTGTATATTAACATGAAGTGTCACACCAAGTCCTACAGCATAAAATCGCATCACAATCTTCTTGTTAAAGGTCGCACCAAAGTCCAACAAGTAAAATGTCAAATCTGATCAAAGGTTGCACCAAAGTCCCAAAGTTAAAATGTCAAATCTGATCAAAGGTTGCACCAAAGTCCCACAGGTAAAATGTCAAATCTGATCAAAGGTCACACCAAAGTCCCAAAGGTAAAATGTCAAATCTGATCAAAGGTCACACCAAAGTCCCACAGGTAAAATATCAAACAACAGGTATAATATCAAGTCTTATTAAAAGATGAACCCCTCGGCTTCCTAGGATCAGCTGTCCAAATAACCCCTCCACTTCCTAGGATCAGCTGTCCAAATAACCCCTCAACTTCCTAGGATCAGCTGTCCAAATAACCCCTCCACTTCCTAGGATCAGCTGTCCTAATAACCCCTCCACTTCCTAGGATCAGCTGTCCAAATAACCCCTCCACTTCCTAGGATCAGCTGTCCAAATAACCCCTCCACTTCCTAGGATCAGCTGTCCAAATAACCCCTCCACTACCTAGGATCAGCTGTCCAAATAACCCCTCCACTTCCTAGGATCAGCTGGGGTTACTGTATTTATATTTGGTGCATGCTCTCTCTCTCTCTCTCTCTCTCTCTCTCTCTAAATATGTTTGTCCCTATTATTTTTTAATTTTGAAAAAGTACAGTATAGACAAAGACCAGTAAAGTAGCAATGATAATCAACAGCAATGGCTGATATACAATTGTTAATATACAGTGCCGATGTGTTTTAATTTGTAAATTAATATATTGATAAAAATTGAACATTTTAAATGGCATTTATCTTTATAACAAAGAAATAACATTTACTAACTTTTATTTAGTATATTGCTATAATTCACTTTTTAAAAATATGTGCAAGATATTCGTAACTGTGACTTTGGATGTTCATGTTGCATATGAAACATAATAAATAGATCTCTTTGGACTTTATAGATATCCCACATGTAAGACATGCATTCAAAAATATATAAGGATAGTAAAATGAAATTCGCTGAGATAAATATAACAATAATCTACGGAATTTGATAAAAGATGAGGAAAAAAGAATTAACGAGGCCCAGATACGAACAATCACTATCGGCAAGTGTTGCGTGTTTCCTGCGACTGGTCACGTGATAGCCGTGTTGATTTCCATAAAGAGGTATAGAGAGATCAGTGGTTTATATAATATTCAACAGGAAATATATACTATAGAGAATTTGAAAACAAGAAACAGTTTTTACACATTTTAATTTTAGCAAGTTTTGTGATCTCTTTTAATATGATGTTTTAAATATATAAATATACAACTACCATAAAAATCATTATTTTGACTCTTTGAAATTTAAATTCAAAATGATTAATCTGTAAAAAGGGATTATCCTATGGAGATATAGTGCGATGACCCCTCCCTATAAAACGACTGTGTTGTGATAATACGAACTTTTTTTGTTTGGAATATTAACTAATTACACAAAGTTGCAGTTAAGACAGACCATTTCTGCCATTGAAAGAGAAAGGCCCATTTTAAAAAGAATTTTGGCTATTTCTAAGACTTAAGTGCAGTCATTTTTCATAAACAGACTACAAGGTACTTGTATTGACAACCAAAATGTGTGTATTGTTTATGAAATTTAAAAATCACAAAAAGACTGCCATTTTTCCACAAGCTATCAGTTAATTTTTTATTGATATATCAATTAATATTACAATTTTTCAGAAATGAAGCAATAAAACCACAGTCTGCATATATAATTTATCACATGATAAATGTGTAAATTATTATTTGAAATTTTTACTTTGTAAATTATGAAATGAATTTTGATAAAAATAAATATATTGAAAGAAAGACAAAACCCCAAGCTTAAATGTTTATGAAATAGTCCTCATGTGAAAGAAAAGAGATAAAATTTGTTAAAGCTTTGGAAGTTTTGATTTGAATGATTCATGTCTGGTTTTTTTAATTAAACATTGTAGTATTTATTTTTTGTGTCAAGGGTTAAATTTTTTCTGATCATGGTATGATTGAGCAGTTTTGAAACATTCTGTATATTACAAGAGGAGATTCAATTGTCAAAATTTTGAAAATAGTTATTGCTAAGAAATAAGCTTAAGTTAAGATTTTTAAACATATATAGATATAAATACAGGTTGGTCGAGATTAAATTCCATAAAGCCCAAAATTTGGCTATGATAATGGATATATTCATAATTTATGTATACATGATTGTGACTTTTGTCGTGTGAAATGTTTATTTTGCTTATATCAACATAATTATGTTAGGTTAACTAACCCTTTTATGATGTCAGAGATAACTCGAACCACTTATTATATGCACATCATCAGTTTTCCAGTAATTGCATGTCATTTATACAGTTATAGTTAGTGCACATAGTGTATATAATACTAACATGTGCAACATAAATATTATTGGTTCACCTGTGCCTGAATAACCCTTTTACATTGAGAGATAACCCTATCTGTCGCTTAGGTCATGCATTACCTTTTAATAATTTGTTTCAAATACATATAGAATATACCTAATTACTTGCAGTGGTATATTTTTGTACCCTCCAACAGAAATACATTGTAGGCTCCACCCGTGCCTTAACATGAGAAGTTTTCACCTGCAAACAATTCATAAAGGGGCTGCAAGTTTCTCAAGGTAATTTTGCCCAGCCATACATTTAACATCTGACAGAAATTACTGAATATTTTCTTTATTTTTCAGAAGCTATTCACTTTCCCCGTTTTTAATTGAAAATAAAATAGGTTTATTGCACAGTTTTGAAATTTCTTATTGTTTGGTTAAGGCAAAATTTTTGTATAAGTTTAATAAAATTTCTCTCATCCAAAGAAATACCAATTATTAATAGGAAAATGTAATTTTTAACAGAAACTTCAAACATTGATTAATCTGTGAACATAAACATTTTATGTTAGATTTCTTGTGGAAATACTTGAAGCCATTATGATATATAATGATATGTGTTAAATGCACATAAAATCCTTCCATGTATTTTCAGATTGGAGATTTATACAGGACTGCCCCCTGGGTCTGAGGCTGTCTGTAGAGTACTGTTTAGAGCTGTTGAAACAGGACTTAGCGGGAGAGAACTCTTTGACCTGCTTGTTGTTGGGACTACTGAAGACTAGTGTGTCAAGAACTGGTAAGGGACACCACTCTATAAGATGACTGTATTAGAAATAAGGAGAGGAATTTCAAAGCTGCTATTCTGCCAGAACTTATAGGAAAACTGAATTCCAGGAGAAAATTTTGACTGCTGCATCACCAGCAAATAAAATTGGGCAGAATAACCGCTGAATTACCAAAGTTTGTGCTGTTATGGAGAAAAAGAGCCCAAAGGAGATGCTGTCGTCGTCTGCTAGGCGGCCTGATGAGCTCTTACAGAGCGAAACAGTGTTCCATAAAATAAAATATCTACATTTGCAGCTGAACACCTGAAGAGGGGCGGGCAGGACTTTAGGGAGTTATGCTATAAAAGTTCATTGTAAAAGTTATTTAGATTCTTCGGATATCGCTCAGAAATGAAAGTTTTACACACAAAAAGAATGTAAATATTTATGACATATACTTTGACCTTTTGACCTCAAAATCAATAGGGTCTTCTTTCAGTCTTGGGAAGTTGGGATGTAAAATTTCATTGTGAAAGCTTAAAATCTGTTTGAGATATCGCATTGAATGAAAGTATTACAGACAGACGGTCATACAGAATTAGAATCTACACTTTATCAGGAAGCTTCCACAAAAGTTTAATTTTTCTGGTCCACACTAGTTCTTGAGATGTTAAAATCACACCACACAATTTTCACTTATACAGGTTAACTTTGGAACAAAATTGGATATGTCAAAGTCAGTGGGAACTTCTGACCCGACCACATATTTCTTAATTCCTTGGATATCATCAAGATGGAGATAATGAGGTTTGACTGTAATTATCATCTTTAAATTTGAAAAAAAACAAGATGTGTTTGTAAATCACTGATGCTCCGGTATGGCAACATAGCAAAAATTAAGCTTTTCTTAAATGCAAATTTTATTATTTGGTACCAAAAGTGGGGTATTCTCACTGGAAAACAATTGTGAAATTTGAAAGTAAGCTAATGTTAAAGTTTTTTAATATGTACAAAAATCTCCAAGGTCAATGTCACGAGGTCAATGTAATTAGTATCAAAGAAAAGGTCTTTCCACATAAAATACTTATGTAAAGCATGAAAGCCCTAGCCCTAACTGTTCAGAAATTATGGTCAGTGTTCAATTTCTTAAAAAGTAGGTCAAACTCCAAGGTCAAAGGGTCAAAGTTATTGTTATCAAATGAAAGGTCTTGTCATAAGGATCAAATATGTAAAGTATGAAAGCACTAGCCCTAACTATGGCACGCCAAATTCAAATAATGAGCTAAACCTAGTTTCACAATTGATAAACTAGGTTTATTGACTGTTAACTATAGTTTGCCATCCATAAACTATAATTACAACCAATAAACCTAGTTTATCAATTGTGAAACTATGATAAGATCATTTTTGTGAATTTGGCCTGCCATACCTAACTCTTAAAAAGTTTTGGTCAAGGTTTGCATTTTTAAAGTAGGTCCATCTCAACGGTCAAGGTCAAACGGTCAAAGTTCTTGGTATCCAACGAAGGGTCTTCTCACAAGGATTACATATATATGAAGCATAAAAGCTCTATCCCTTTTCGTTCAAAAGTTATGGCCAAGGTCAAAGTTTTTTCACAAGTACGGAGATCTACAAGGTCAAAGGGTCAAGGTTGTTGGTATCCAGTGAAAGGTCTTTTAACAAACATTACATATGTGAAGTATAAATGTCCTGGTTCTACTGTTCATGATATGGCCAAAGTAAAATTTTAAAATTTTCATGTAAATGTTGGTCAAACTCCAAGGTGAAGGTCAAATTTGGTGGTACTCAAAGAAAGGTCTTGTCACAAGGAATACACATATGAAATATGAAAGTCACAGCTCCACTAAATCAAAAGTTATGGGCAAGGTTAAAGTTTTGCAGACAAACAGAGAGACAGCTAGACAGACAGACGGACACGACAAAAATTATATACCCCGAAACTTCATTTACAGGGGCATAACAAAAAATATAAAAAGCAAACTTGAATCCCCTTTACCCAAGAGACAACTGACAAAGCTCACTTTAGCAAAGCAAAAATCATCTGAAGCAGGCCTGATATAATGCATCCTATAGGTTACATCATAGAAGCCATATCGTTTTCATGGGGCGTGGAAATCGAGGGCATGAAGCGATATACGATATAATCAATAGTATGAGGCTTCTGTGATGTAAGCAACTTGTCGCATGTCTGATGACGTAAATTTCTCTGAGAGTGTCAAAATTCAATAATTAATTCATTTGAAGCTAGCTTTCCAACATGTCGGACGTTCTTAGTGAATTTGACTTTGACTTAATTTTTGACTGAGTGTAAAGATTCTGAGAATTAATCTTTGAGCCAGGTACCCGACAAATATGAAATCACAGAAGCAAATATCAAAGATTTTATCGAGTTGGATATGAAGTTTGGTGAATTTACTGTAACGTACGTACTTTCAAAATTTCAAAATGGATTAATCTTTTGAACGACTGGGAACTTTCAACCAAGTTAAATACTTGTATTTTAATTTAGTTAAAGGCTAAGAAATAGCTAAACATGTTCATTTTTCTGTGCATGTTTATAAACTTGTGAAATAAAATCAGTTTTTTTTTCTCATGACCTGATTTCTGCTTCCTGCAATGATATAAGAAGGGGCCTGGAAAATATTATTGCATATGTGAAATGGGATATATCACCACAGAAAGATCAAAGAAAATCACCGCAGATATGCGACTACTTAGATGTATCATCCATGCAAGATAATGTTTGGTAAACAGGACTAATCAATACTTGGAAATAAGACCTGCACCAAAACATTAACCTGTTAACTCATGCAGAAAATGAAGGTCAGATCCAGCATCTGAAACAAGCCTGGAAGTTTGCATCCTTTGAAGATTGGACTACATAGGACTTATTAATTAAAGTTATCTGCAGCATCTGAAACAATCTTGTTAATATGCATCCTTAGATGTATCATCTCTGCAAGTTTGGTCTTATGGTTATTTGAAAATGAGACCTGCACGAATCCATGCATTTCCAAAATCAAATAATATTTACCAGTAAAAACTATGGAAAGCCGTAGGGTACCCCCACATTATTATTATTTTTTCCTATATAATTATACCAAAAATAATTATGTCCTCCAAACTTGCTTTTTACAACATTATTATTATTTTCCTGCAACAATTATAATCTTCCCTGTTAAATGTGTACACATTATTATTATTGTGTCCTACAATTATAATGATTCACTTTACAACAATAATCTTGCCAGTCAATTATGTAGACACATAATTATAATTTTTCGCCTCATGATTATAATCTTGTCAGTCGATGTGTACACATTATAATTATTTGAATGCGGGTGGTTTCGCTCCGATTACGTGTTCGCGCCGAGTGGTTTCGCGCCGATCACTTGTTCGCGCCGAGTGGATTCGCCCCGATTGGTTTCTACTGTATAACTGAAGATACCGCTTATGGGATAGTCATTTGATTAATATTTATATTAAGATATTATAAAGAAAAGGCAATTGCTATGAAATGGGAAGTCTTATAAATCGTCATGCAGAAGAATCCTTGTTCTACATAATTTAATATTGTAAATCAAATGAAATACAATTACAACCTTCATTTAAAAGTCAACGAGATTTGTGAAATAAATATTTATTTTAACATCCAGTCTTAATTATTCCAAATTCGATGATCAAATTTGTTCAAATATAGTCATAATTTGGTTAAAAATGGCTTCAT